GAGGCGAGGGAATGGAGAGGTGTCCCTGGCATCCATGGTGTTGGTGTACACGAGAGATGGACTCGTTACACGGACGATAACGAGAAGAAGTTTTCTCTCGCGTTAACCGCTTTTTCTCTCTCCGCGGAGAAAATTCGTCGTGAATTCACGACGCAGATCACGGTTTTTTTGATCGGTTGAAGGGAGAAGGATTCGGCAGCCTCGCGATGTATACATATATATATATATAGCAAGTCTAAATAGGAGATCGAGTTATCTTCTTTTTTTTTTTTGCAAGCTTTAGAGAATTTATTTCTATTCCATTTTGGAATTATGTGTTATGGTTTGTATATATACCAATGAATTTCGTGATCGAGATAGGTCGTAAATTAAGATTGTGTACGTTTAAATCGTATTTTAACTGTGCATAAATATAAATACCGTTAACCCTCTACGGGTTACCATTGTTGAACAACGCACTCGTATACGGCATACGTGTGTATATTCAATATATATAACGCGGTCGTAAATTAAATCCTTTCGACAACAAAGGATTTTCGGAGAAATTGTCACGCGTTTCGAAGTTAATTATTAAAGAAGGTCGAGTTTATCGAATCCTCGCAAGGATCCTGCTAGAAAATTTCGATTCGTGATTTCTTCCTATCCTATGATCACCGATCACCGAAGGGTTAAACTCGTTGAACAAAGATTGGATAATCCCCGTTGATCAGCGATCCATCGGGAAAACGATATCGTGTCAACAAGAGCGAGCGGTGTTTTCTCTTTGCTCGATTTATCTTCTTCACTTTTTTTTTTTTCTTCTTTGCATTGTATTATATATGTATACGAATACGAAACGGAGAATGAAATCTTTGAATCCAATATTCGTTATGTTTTTTTTCTTTTTCTTCTTCTTTTTTTTTTTTTCGGCAAGAAAACGTTTCGATACGAAAATTAATTATTCATCGTCGAAAACTTCTTAATCGTCTCGATTCATCTTTTTATCGTCGCGAATATTTTCGATAAAAGTTCAATTTCTATTTAAAATTTCATTTATTCGAACCCGATTCGAGGTTGAGAATCGATTATTTTTTTTTTCTCGTTAAATTTTATTTTTACAAAATTTCATGCAAAATTCTTTCGTATTCATTTCTTGTATATAAGATTGCACCATTTAATTCATTGGTATTTTTCAATTTTACCGAAGAAACTTTCGAATGTTTGCATTTCTAAATTTTTGTTTAATATCTCTCCAATAAACAGCATCAATTTTAGTCATTGACCAAGTTTAACTTATATTAATCTTTCTTAATCAGAATATCACGCGTAATTTAACAATAACAATTTTTCGTTAATTCGTATTGAAAAAGAAAAATGATTTTACATTCAAAATGACAAAAATGTTAATTTATCGATGACAATTTTTATTTTGGAATTCGTCCAATTCGAAATTAATCGTTCTTCAACGAGCTAACTACGAATAAATTCCATTGTATTTAAAACAAACGAAGAATAGGAAGAATTCGAATTCACGTCCAAGATCCAAAGAAAACGATGACTAATTTAACATCTATGACAATTTTTCCTTAATTCCTACTAAAAAAAAAAAAAAATCGATTCTATCCTTCTTCAAATGAAATAATAACGAATAAAAGTTTTCGCTATACATCGGTGACAAATTCTTTTTCTTCTTGATTCTGGAAAAACATCGATTCCAAATTCGTCGAATTTCCAAATAACTAACGACGAATAGATTCCAGTTGGAAAGAGAAGGACGAATTCAAATCACTGGATCCAAGAACCTGGAGCACGCGTAATTTAACCTCGATGGCGAACGAAATTTCCTTGACACACACCGGGGTCACCTCGAAATTGACACCTGTCACGTTCACCTGCGTTCGGCCATCGTGCGTTGCATCGCGATACCATCGCGAAACAATATCATCGTTTATTGATTGATCGAAGCCCATCTACAACCAGGATTGTCCCCCTCCTTCCCCCTTCCCTCTGCCAATTATCACAGACCTTCCTTCTCCCTTCTCCTCTCGGTTTCTTTTTTTTTTTCCTTTTTTTTTTTTTTTTTTT